AAGTCAAAATCACATGGAAAAAATTTTTTAATTAAGCACTCAAATTAGAGAAAATAATTATACACGGGACCACCAAAGATTAATATAATTAACAATATAACTAAGAAAATAAATATATAAGCAAGACTGTGAGCTGAATTTATAAAAGAATAAATATGATGAGTAGACAAATAAAAGTTTAAATTCACTTGCAAAGAAATGAAAATTAAAACATTGAAATGCTACATTTAATTTATAAAATTGATAAATTGGTAAAGGTTTGGGAAAAGCTAATCTTTCAAAAGCTGTTTGTGTTATGTTCTATTGCCTTTTTTTTCCTGGAATGTCATTAGTATGTTTGAAACATTATCTCTAGGAATCTATTATCTCCAGGAATTTATTTCAATATTATTCTATAGAATAATATTTATATATTATAGGAGTGGGGACTTTCTAGTCTCACTAATATACCTATTTCTGTCCATGATTATATTATATCAGAATTATATATACACATCATAAAAATACATTTTATTTTCTGAAGTTTATGTCCTCCTTCATATGATTTATTTTCAAAAGTTTCTTTAAAAAGTTCATTCATAATAAATAAGATAATAATAAATATGCATGCATGAAATATTCTTTGCATATTTGTTTATATAGCAAAGAAGATATATAAAATAAAAATAATTTATTAATAATTTAGGTCTTAAATCCTTGATTATAGTAGAAAAAAATCTTGGAATTGTGAATAGGAGACAGGAAATGAAAACATTTTAAGTCTTTAATTTTACACAAAGAGAGGCAATAGACAATATTTATTATTTGATTTTTGATATTTCTAACTAGAGAAAAATAGTGTTAACAACTAGATGTTGTTTATAAAACAAAATATCTTTAAAAATCTAAGTGATTTTTCTACAAAAAGTACAAATTTTCAAATTTGAACAGTAAGCCTATTTTTTGAAAGAGCTACAATGATCAGTCCAAAGTTTTTCAAAGTATCATTTCCCAACAAGGCTTAGAGCACTGTTTCAAATATAAAAGAAACAGATCATTTCTGCTATAAAAACTATTCCAAAACACTAAAAAATAGTTTTCTAGTTAAGTTTATAAAGCTGTATAATCCTGATGCTAGAATCTGACCAAGATGGCAAAAAAAAAAAAAAAAATACGATAAAATTGTACTTTTCAAATATATTGTATTGCAAATTAGGTTCTTGTTACTTGTTAATGAATTACTTGTTAATGAATAATGGATTCAGTGCCAAATAAGTTTGAGATATACATCCCCTGTAGCAGATCGACAATGTATATCACCATCTTAAAGAATCTGAGAGATTCTGTAGTTCATCATTAACTCAGCATATTCCAAAATTATTCAGACACAAAACACCTTTTTACATCACACATTAATATTTAACTGTGTTAATGTGCCTCTAATGCCTGATACCTAGTGGGTCTTCAATAAATGTTTTTCTTTCTCTTATTCTTTTTTCTAATGGTGAGCTTTCATAGGGTCGACAGTCGATGGCCTTGATGTTAAGACCATGCAGGTCTTTGCTAGGTCTGGTATGATTATGGAGCTGACTAAAAATGTTATCATTCTTGATGTTGCAAGAGTAAAGGCAGAGCTAACAGAAAGAAGGAAATGGAAGAGAGTTTGGAGACTGGAGGGGAAACGAGGGAGTTCTAAGGTCTTCGTTTTGCAAAAAGGGGAAACATGATACTGTGTATGTTTATTGAAGAAAAAAATGGAGGTACTGATGCAACATTTGAGGAACTCAGAATAGCAACTACGTACAGATTACAGAACAACAGAGGATATGTAAGTCACATTACTCCTAATGTATCACAGTAGATAGACAGTCAATAGACCTTTGCCCAAAGGTGATAAATGAAGAAAGTGACATGAGCATACTATTTAAAGATGTGAAACTGACCATCAGAAAAACCAACAAACCAAGTTGGTTAGAAGTAGTTGCCTTTAAGGAACAGAAGCAAAGACAGGGTGGAGGACTTTTCATTTTAAATCATTTTGTACCATTTGATTTTTTCAACCATGTGCATGTTTAGTTTGTTAAAACTTTTGTAATTTAGGTGTACAAAACTGACTTTTTCAAAGTTAGTGAAAGCCACTGATTGAGGACATAAATTAATACAGGCATGATACGGCTGCTTGAACTTGATAAACCTTAGTTTAAATCTTGGCTCTACCAAATGCTAGAACTTGTTGGCTTTGGACAAATTGCTATGTCTTTAAGCCTCAGTTTCTTCCTCTGAAAATATCAGTAATAATACCTAACACATAAAGTCATTTTGACCTTTGAAATTGAGAATGTCTCAAGCACTCAACACACAAATAGAGGATGCTTAATGTAAATGGTTATATTTAATAGTTGTTATAAAAATTATAACTATTTTCAACTATATGTTAACAATTTACTCCTTGAAATTTCCTTTTGGTACAAGTACAGGTATTTAACATTTAAGGGAACATTCCTTAAATGCTAATGGTCTTAAGAATTCTTCCAGAAGTTTTTAGAAGTTTCTGATTGTTTTTCTACCTGCTTTAGAGGCATCATGATGTAATGGAAGAACCCAGCATTAGTTTTCCTGCTTCCACCTTAGGAAAAGCATTTAATCCAATTTAAGTCATTATAAAATGACATTGCTGGAGCTTTACCTGTCTGAAGGTTATGGTGAATCAGCTGTTCATTTGAGGTACTGGTCACCTCTAGGGGCCATGGGTGTAGAATAAGAGAATAATGTGTCCCATTGAACATGGAGCGATTGTGGGATTCCACAAGTCAATTAAGGCCTCACCTCTAATGTTTGGCCCTAGGACTGAGGGAATATTTTTGACCTCTGAGACAGGGTTTGGTTTGTTTAAAAAATTAATCATGTGCTTTCTGAGGCATAAAAAGCCTGCTTACCTCTGTCAGATGAGTTTACTTATCTAAAATATCAGTGTTCTTTTTAGTAAATTCAATTTCCCAGTAAATGATATCCTCATAAGCCAGAAAGCTGAGTTTAGTGTATAGAATTCCACTGCTGAATTAATGGTTATGTATAAAAATATGCTTTCTTTTAATTGGCATTCAGTTCTTTTATGAAAAAGATGATCCTTTATGCCTGTTGAATGAATTCAAAAACAAGGATGAAGAATTTGAATTTTAATTACATCTCTATAAAGAAAACTCTTGACAAGTGTACTCACTCACCAATTCAGTAAATATTTATTATGGGTAAAACTGATATAGAGTTGACAAAAAGGGTTCCTGCTCACAAACTAGCAGGGCAGCAGCAGGTCTGAAGTAGGCCTGCTGGGAACCAAACATAAGTCTATTTTTATTTTCAAAAATAGTAAAATAAAAAAAAATTAAGCACACCAATCTAAATAAAATGACAAATTAATATACACTTAAAGGTCCTTTCCTCTCCTCTCCTTTTCCAAACTTTGCATCTCCATTTTTTTTTTTTCCCATTCTTATTTGCAGGACTGGTATATAAGGAGAAAATTGAAAGACTGCAAAGCATTTTGTCCACATGATTTGATTCCTTCACTTTTTTTTTTTTCCCATTCTTATTTGCAGGACTGGTATATAAGGAGAAAATTGAGAGACTGCAAAGCATTTTGTCCACATGATTTGATCCCTTCGCTGTATAATTAAATGAAGCAAAATGTTACTGCATCTTTGAGCTGGGCCTCTAGGTGGACTTAGATTCCAAGAAATGTCCTCAGACTTCTTTGTTAGGAGTGTCCTGTTTACATATTGTTTGTTCTAAAGGCTGCTATGAACTGTGTTGCTTTTCTGTCTCCACAATTCTAAAGGATTGCCCTCGACCATCTGACTCAATTTTAAATAGCATGTTCTGGGGTCATCTGTTACAAGTACAGTATTTCAAACCATAAATCAACAATATTTGAATAAAAGAATATGCTAAATTCTTTGTGTGGTTTATAATGATTGTTGATTATTTGCATGTTGTTGAAATATACAGATGAAGACAACTATAGGTGCAAACTGATCTAATGAAATAAAGTAATGCAGAGACATTACAAATAATAGAAGTAGTCTATTTAGTATCACGTTATTGGGTCAGATTGTATGGTTGAAAGACAATTTTAGATTTAGACCTGGACTTAATCCAGGCTGTGCGCCTCTAAGGCTAAGCAATTTATCTTACCTCTCTTAGTCTCAGTTTCATGATCTATAAAATGGTGATTCTGATACTAAGAATGCCAAAAAGATCGAGTAATGCAATTTTTAGAGTGGCTAGTACATAATAGAATTATGGTTCCCATACTGAACTTGAAAATCCCCTCGGTAAGTAAAGATCCTCTTCCTGTGCATTTGAGGGACTCTGGCCTTGCTCATACAGGAATGCCCTTCAGTCTTCCTTTCCCAGCCCAACATTTTTTTCTACCTGGTCTTCTCTGGATTGTACAGAACTTACAGAATGCAGACAGTATTGGATTGTGATCTGGTAGTAGCTGAATAGCATGCCTCACTAGGGTGGTCTCTGTCTTAAGTCTGCTTTTCCTGAAAGGATCAGGCTCCTCTTCACAGCTATGGTGGAGGAAGAAAAATATAACCCAAAATAAAGCTGAAGATTAAAGGTGGTAGACTGCTTAACCTACAAATCCTAGTCAGAGGAGCACCAGGGAGCCAGGGAAAAGGAAGCACCTGGCTTGACGTTTTTAGTTGCAGAGAAACAGAGCTATCTGGAAGCTTGTACCTGTGGCAGCTCCCTGCCCAGGAATCCCTAGGCCCTGTGATGGGTGGCACGCAGAGCACAAAAGGTACCACATCCAGCCTTATCGTCCCTGAATCTCTCACTTCCCATTCCTGTTATAACACCAAAGTTTATGTTAGACTTTCAGAAATTCAGCTTTTAAACACATTTTAGGAACACATCATGTGCATAAGTAGAGAGCTGTTTACATACATTAAAATGTGGGCAGTATTGTATTTAACGATATTTTTAATCCATTGAATTCATAGAAGGACAATAAAGCATGTTCACATTTATTTTTATTACTTTACAGCCATGGTCATTTATAGTGTCACAAAAAAAGCACATGAAAATGAAGAGCTAATAATCCAAAATTCTAATACCCCAAGGTCATTTGCCACTACACATTTCTATATCAATTATTGTACTGCAAAGCTTAAAATGAAACCTTCTTCTCCATATTCTGACTTTATCCCTTATCCTAACATCATCATTAAAGTGATACGTGAAGAAGCAAAAGATATGACTTAATTTTTTTAACAGTATTTTCTCACCGTAGACAAGTAATTCAGTTTAGAAATTACATTAGACAATAAGGGCAATTGTTCTAATAAGAGTACAGCTAATATATCAATGGGCACAAGGCAAAACAAAGCAGGATAAGTAATAGAAGGAATTTGTATGTAAATTAAAAGGTTTAAAATTACTTTCATCATCTGCATCTTCTGTTGTATGTTTAATTATATTTGTTATCAGGTATATTATCTAATGCCTAAGGTTACAAACAAAGAAGGAATTTTTTGAAAAGAGAAAGAATTTACACATTCACAACTCTTTTGATTAAAATTTATTTGTTTGCAGAATTTCCACAAATTAGAAAACATGGCTTCAAGTCATCATTTTCCTAAAGTTGTGTTTCCTTGCCTGGCCAGCAGCTGGGTTGTAGCAGCAAATGATCACTTGCAGTACAGTTTTCCTTCCTGAGTCTTGCAGACACCATGGTTCGTTCTCTCTTGATTATGAAGCTTCTATGTTTTGAAACATAATTTTTCTTTAAAATGAAAAGTACTGCCATGCTTAGGAAAATGGACACTATGCCCAGTATCATAGTTAGTCCCAGATATATGTGTCTAGAAGAAGAGAGAATCCCAGTCATAATTATTGCAACTGCCCAACTTGAAATCAAGTATAAAAGGATGCTAATGATATCATTCTGATGGTTTTCTTTAAGAATGCAGATTTGGTAGCCATAAAAAGCCTTTGTATAAACATTGAAGGTAGACTATTGAAGGCAGATTGCTAATATAAAGCAATTTCTTAATAGTGTCATCATTTTCAATTACTACCAATTACATAATCAGTTCCAGTTTCCTCTCTGGAAATTATTCCCTCAGACCAGGTGACCATATCCTTGTTTGCCCAGAACAGTTCCAGTTTATGCTAGTGTTGTCCCAGTGTAATTTTAATACTGCCCCCTTTCACTCTCAAAAGTGTTCAGGTTTGAATGATAAATTATGTGGTTTCCTCACCCTCAGAGCATTCCCAAATTCACTTCTATGGAAAAACTGCATCAAGCATGCCAAGGGGAATTCGAGCTCTCAGTAATGAGTTGAGAATAAATGATATTTAAATCAATTTCTTTCATGGGAAGCCTTTAGTTCTACACTGTCAGAAGACGCTAAGGTATGGAAGTGCAGGTTGAATGAATGTTTCTCATTCTAGTCACCTTGTAAACACACTCTCAGTCTCTGATCGAGTTACACTGTCCTACATTAAAGTGAATACAGTTTTAGCAAATGCGAGTACAGCCCAAATTATACTCACAGATCTGTCCCTTTCAAGGACCAAAATAATTTTCACACATAACATCAAAGCCTATTAAATCAAACAAACTTATTTGAGATGGCCTGCCCAATTCACATCCAACTTAGATGGTTCAGCGCCAGGTTTATTTCTCTAGAAAACACTTGGCTTGTAAGTCTTAAAATCCTTCTTGCTTTTAAGCCATTTGAAGCATTGCTTTAAGCAATAAGCCTGCCCAATTCACATCCAACTTAGATGGTTCAGCGCCAGGTTTATTTCTCTAGAAAACACTCGGCTTGTAAGTCTTAAAATCCTTCTTGCTTTTAAGCCATTTGAAGCATTGCTTTAAGCAATAAGGGGACTAAATGTTGGATGAACTAAACTGAATGATACCGTAGTAAAAATGCCAAACCCCTCACCCCATGCACACTCACTCCCACAGAGAAAACCTTTTAGTTGTATGCATTTCAAGTACTGGAATAATCGAACATCAGTTTGGCAATAAAAGCAGGACAGATTTAGAGCCAAATCCAACTCTTGCCCAGGGGGATTACATCTGACGTAAATGGTACAGTTTGGCTTAGTTTTAAAAAGAATAGAATTAAACTCAAAATGTGACCTAAATTTAAATCCTTCTGAGTTTCAGTGAATTACCTACCCATGGGTGAGCATAAACTTGCAAAATGCTACTCTATTCTGGAATCTTTCATCATATGTTTTAAATGATTACTCATTTAAAAGGGAAGCCAATGTGAGTAATGTGGAAAAAAATCAAAGATCTAACCAAATAAATAGTAATCTAATTATTCTGTGAAACAGATCACCTTTTTTTAGTAGACTATTCTTTACTTTACAAGCAGTGAAACTACATGAGGACTTATCAGTGCCAGTGGCATCGTGTAAACCTGGGATGTTGCAGCAGTGAGATGTGGGGATGCATTTGATACGGTACCTGAAAGCATTGGAATCATATAATCTGCAGGAGCCTCTACTTCCACATCTTTTAAATCCCCATTTGATGCATGAAGTGTCAATCAAAACTCCAAAATATACTGGAGCTGGGATTCCTGCTGTGAAAAAAAAAAAAAAAAACCCAAATAATTGCTATCTTAAAAATTTGCACATCCTTTTGGTTCTAAATGATTATCTGGAACCGCTTACTTTTAGTCCACTAATTACCGTTTTGGAAATGAAAGGTCATCAATTACATGCTGAAATCTCGAAAACCTCTCTCTCTAGCCCAGTCTTCTTTTATAAGTTCCAGAGTGAAAAAAAAAAAAAAAAACCCAAATAATTGCTATCTTAAAAATTTGCACATCCTTTTGGTTCTAAATGATTATCTGGAACCGCTTACTTTTAGTCCACTAATTACCGTTTTGGAAATGAAAGGTCATCAATTACATGCTGAAATCTCGAAAACCTCTCTCTCTAGCCCAGTCTTCTTTTATAAGTTCCAGACTTCTGCAATAATTGCCATTCGTTTACCTTAGAAGCATGTCTCCCAGGCACATCAAACTCAACATGGCTCAACTTCTTTCTCTTCGGGGGCTGTCCATTTATCAGTAACCACGCAGTTGCTAAAGGCAGCAGCTTGGGAGTCATCTTACATCCCATTCTCTTTGCTCTGTCTGTTCATCACTACATTTAATCCTTCTCCCAATCATGCCAATGCTACCTCCTAGGTATATCTTTAACACATTCTTTTCTCTCCATTCCCACTGCCACTACTTCCACCCTAATTTAAAGCAGCAGCCAATTCGTAATTCTTCTGCTTCCTTTCTAATCCTCTCCAATCTATTCATTACACAGATGTTAGATCATTCAGTTACAAAGATAATTTTCCAAAACATCTATTCCAAGACAAAACTAGCTAACTCCACATTGGGTCCCATCTGCATTTCCAACCTCAATTTGAGCAAAATTCACTGTCTTATATTTCAGACTCCAACTTTGCTGGGTTTCTTTGAGTGCTTAAAATGTTGTCCGCTCTTGCCTGAATGCCTTATATAGTTTTCTTTATCCAAACACTTTCCTCTTTACTCCTTCCCCTTCTTAACACAAACTCATCCTTCAAATCTCAGTTTACATGTTCTCCTTCAGGAAAGGCTATTCTGATGACCTAAACTACATTAATCCCTCTTGTTTTACATCTTACAGAACTTGTACTTCTTTCAAAACCCTTAGTGCTCCTGTTATGGTGTGTTTAATTGCTTTTCCTGTTATTCTGTAAGCTATACAGGGGCAGGAAAACTGTCTTTCTTATTCATGCTGTAAACTCTAGTTGGTTCTCAGTAAGTGTTTGTTGAGAATTTAATCTCTCCTTAGGGTGAAAGATACCGCTCATATACAAGTTTTAACAAAAGTATTTTAAGGTGATTGCAGTCTGTTCAATCTGTTTTAAACTGGTGGTCCATTCACATCCGTTATTTAGTCTGCATAGGATTTTTGTTTTTTAATTATTAGCCAATATTTACAAGCCAGGAAATTTCATGTAAAGTTGCAGATTTCTCAATTCTTGAAAAGCTACATTATCTGGCAGTCCACAGTAACAGCTGGCCAGAGGTGAACAGCAGCTGCCTCTATCCCCCACTACCCACTTGTGATGGTTAATTCTAGGTGTCAACTTGATTAAAAATACCTAGAAACCTGGCAAAGAATTATTTTGGGATGCATCTGAGAGGGTGTTTCCAGAAGACATTAGCATGTAAGCCTAAGTGGACTGGGTGGGAAGAAACCACTCTCAATATGGGCAGGCACCATCCAGTCCACTGGGGACCCAGAGAGACAAAAACAGAGGAAAAGGCGAATTTCTCACTGTATCCACTGGAGCTGGGATACACTCTTCCCTCCTGCCCATGGACATCTGAAGTCGAGACCCTTCAGCTTTTTCTTCCAGGATGTGTAAGTAACAGCAGTACCCCCAGATCAGGTCTTTGGACTTAGACTGAGAATCACCCCATTGGTTTCTCTGACTCAAAGGCTTCCAGACTTGGACTGAGCCATGCTACAGGCATCCTGTTTGCAGATGGCCTATCATGGGACTCCTCAGCCTTCATAATTGCTTGAACCAATTTCCCCTAATAAATCATACAGTTATGTACATATCCTATAGGGGCTGTCTCTCTGGAGAACCCTAATACACCACCCTTGACATAAACATGGAGTTCACTCTCCAAGTTCATGCAGCTTTCTCTCTGCCTACTTCACTTGTTTCCATCAACTGCCTGGACTATTTTGGCATTTGAGTTTTTAACTTTGGCATTTGAGTTTTTTGTTTGTTTGTTTGTTTCCTTCTGTTATAAAATTGCTGTGTATGTGTATATAGAATAAAATATTCTCACTAAATTTTTAAAGTCATCTAACAATATTTATGACACCTCTAAATTTCTGAGATTATTCATTTGTTCTTTGGTAACAAATGAGAAATATTTTAAAACATTTTCCATCTAAAAGTCTACTAAATTTTGCAGATGTCTTTGTAAGAATTGGTTCAATCCAGAATCATGAATGTTTGTTTAATCACTGGGTGAGAGATTTGGGGAAATGGAATATTCACATAATGTCAAAATATACTACAGATTACTTATTAATTACAAAGGGATTTTTACAATGAAGAAAACCGGTAGACATTATCTTCACCAAGAGATCAAACTTGCAATTTTCAATTGATGGGATATACACTGAAGTAATGTGCTTCCTGATGTGATGTACTAAGCAGAACACACTATCACCAGTGTAGTGTCCTCAACAAAAGTATTACACCTGAACACAGTCAAAAGCAAACAAACAGACAAATCAGTAGGTGGGATATTCTACAAAACATCTGTCTTTGCTTCTTGAAAAATAAAAGTCATAAAAGACCAAAAAAAAAAAAAAAAAGTTGAGGGATTGGTGGAGACAACTTTCACCTAAAACTTTTAGCAACTGTTGATGGAGTTGCAAGACAAGAATTTTTTTAAAGTTCTATTCCTCCTATACAAATTATTTGGAATTTTTCTTTTTTTTCTTTTTCTTTCTTTCTTTCTTTTTACTGTAAAATAATTGATTATACATCTTTGTGGGGTACAGAGTTGAATATCAATACCTGTGTATAATATGTGATGAACAAATCACAAAACATAATCATTCTTTGTGAACCTTAACGAATTTCTTGCTAACCCCTCCCTGCTTCCTCCTTTCCCACCTCTGGTAATCACATTCTGTTCTCTCCTTTTGAAAGTTCAATGTATTATTGTGATCTTCCTTTTTCTATTTTTATTTAAAGACAAGAATTTTTTTAAAGTTCTATTCCTCCTATACAAATTATTTGGAATTTTTCTTTTTTTTCTTTTTCTTTCTTTCTTTCTTTTTACTGTAAAATAATTGATTATACATCTTTGTGGGGTACAGAGTTGAATATCAATACCTGTGTATAATATGTAATGAACAAATCACAAAACATAATCATTCTTTGTGAACCTTAATGAATTTCTTGCTAACCCCTCCCTGCTTCCTCCTTTCCCACCTCTGGTAATCACATTCTGTTCTCTCCTTTTGAAAGTTCAACGTATTATTGTGATCTTCCTTTTCCTATTTTTATTTGTTTATTTTTAGCCCCCACTTATGAATGAGGACACACAGCATTTCTCTTTCTGTGCCTGACTTATTTCATATAACATAATTTCCTCCAAGCTCATCCATGTTGCTGTGAATGGCAGAATTTCATTCTTTTTTATGACTGAGTAGTATTCCATTGTATAAATATACCATATTTTCCTTATCCAGTCATCCATCGATGGACATTTAGATAGGTGGTATAACTTGACTATTGTAAAGAAAGCTTCAATAAATATGGGAATGCAGGTATCCCTTTAACATGGGTATATACCCAGTTGTGGGATTGCTGGATTGTGTGGTGGTTCTATCTGTAGTTGTTTGAGGAACCCAACTGTTTTCCATAATGGCTGTACTAATTTATAGTCCCACCAGCCATGTATAGGGTTTCCCCCTTTCTCTGCATCCTTGTGAGCATTTGTTATTTTCAGTCTTTTTGATAATAGTCCAACTGGAGTGAGATGATATCTCAGTGTGATTCTGATTTGCATTTCCCTGATGATTAGTAATGCTAAGCATTTTTTCATGTACCTGTTGCCATCTGTATGTCTTCCTGTGAGAAATATCTATTCAGCTCCTTTGCCCATATTTTAATCAGGTTATTTGTTTTATTACTGTTAAGTTGTTTGAATTCCTTGTACATGCTGGATGTTAATCTCTTGTCAGATGTATAGTTTGCAGATATTTTCTCCCATTCTGTAGCTGTCTTTTCGCTCTGTTGATCGTTTTCTTTGCTGTGTAGAAGCTTTTTAGTTTCATATGATTCCATTTTTTACTTTTTATTTTGTTGCCTGTGCTTTTTTTGCCTGTGCTTTTGAGGTCTTTTTCACAAAGGTTTTGCCCAGTCCTACACCCTGAAGTGTTTCCTCTATATTTTCTTCTAGGAGTTTTACAGTTTCAGATCTTATATTTAAATCTTTAATCCATTTTGAGTTGATTCTGGTATATGGTGAGAAGTATGGGCCTAGTTTTAATCTTCTATACATGGAAATCCAGTTTTCCAAGCACCATTTATTGAAAAAGCTGTCTTTTCCCCAATGTATATTTTTGTGCCTTTGTTGAAGATCAGCTGGCTGTAAGTACTGGGTTCTCTATTCTGTTCCATTGGTCCATATGTCTGTTTTTACATCAGTACCATGCTGTTTTGTTTACTATAGCTTTGTAGCATAATTTTAAGTCTAGCTTTTTATTTATTTTTTTTTGCTTAGGGCTGCTTTGGCTCTTTGGGGTCTTTTGTTCTTCCATATGAATGTTAGGACATTTCATATGAATGTTTTCTTTCCATTTCTGTGAAAAATTGTCCCTGGTATTTTGGTGAGGATTGCATTGAATCTATAGATTACTTTGGGTAGTATGAATATTTTCACAACATTAATTCTTCCAATCCATGAACACGGAATGTCTTTCCATCTTTTTGCATCCTCTTTAATTTCTTTCAGCAGTGATTTGTAGTTCTTATTGTAGAGACCTTTCACTTCCCTGGTTAAATGTATTCCTAGGTATTTTATTTTTTTGGCAGGTATTGTAAATGGGATTTCATTCTTGATTTTTTTGTCTACTAGTTTGTTGTTGAAGTATAATTACACCACTGATTTTTGTATATTGATTTTATATTCTGCAAATTTACTGAGTTTTGTTAATTGGCTGTAAGAGTTTTTTGGTAGAGTCTTCAGTTTTTTCTATCTATAGGATCATGTAATCTGCAAACAGGGACAATTTGACTTCATCTTTTCCAACTTGGATGCCCTTTATTTCTTTCTCTTGCCTGACCGCTCTGGCTAGTACTTCCAGTACTATATTCAATAAGAGTGGTGAGAGTGGGCATCCTTGTCTAGTTCCTGTTCCTAAAGGAAAAGTTTTCACCTTTTCCCCATTTAGGATGATATTGGCAGTGGGTTTTTCATGCATCGCTTTTACTGTGTTGAGATAATTTCCTTCTATACCTAATTTGTTGAGAGTTTTTATCATGAAGGGATGTTGAACTTTGCCAAATGCTTTTTCTGTGTCTATTGAGATAATCACATGGTTTTTGTCCATTTGCATATGTTAAGAGAATTCTCCTTCATTGAGCATTTTGTTCCTCTGAAATATAGTTAATAGAAGAAAGGCAAGATACATGATTGATTCTCCCCCCCACACACTTTTGTAATCAATTCTCAGAATAAATTGGTACCCTGGTGTTCTCCACATTTTAAAAATATCATTATGAACTCATAGGCTTTTATACATTTGATGTATTTCAGTAAACTGTAGCCATTATAACTATTATTACTGCTACTACTATTATTTTGATCCTCAAATTATCCCACCTTGAAGCCAATCTCCTCAAATTGGTTCTGTATTATTCTGACATATTCTTTTTAGCCTTTGATAGCTTATTCCCTTTCTCGTCCAATAAGACATCCCACAATCAAGTTATGTATTTACTCTAGACCTTGGATCAGTTATTTCTCCAAGATGCCATGGTCCTTTTAATGACAATTCATATTTAGATATCACAGACTGATTGCTATGGTGTTCATTTCTTCTGGGTTTCATCATTTTTAGATTTTTTAGAAGTCAGAGCTATAAAATACACATTATTTTATACTAAAAAATATGTGAGTTCATAATATTTTAAAATCAGATTTAAGAATAATTTTACTTAAACACTTTTACTTTATACTTTATCACATTTCTATTATTCAGAAAATGTTGATTCCAACTGATATTAAAATAATATTTTATTTGTTTTACTTTAAAATATATAATAGTTTCAACATAACAATACCAATATTAGTACTACTAATAAGACTCATGTAAATGCAGTTAATCTGTGGGGATTTGGTAAAACTTTTATTTTTAAGTCATTTAAAGTTTTTTCTGTATGCTTATGCCAGCAATATAATAAACAGTGAGTTTCAGTTTTTAAGATTCGGTTCTTTTAAATTTTATTTTCAATTATATAAAACTTTACATAATTTCAAATTAAATAATTATATAACAAGTTATAATTACAAAGTCTCACTTCCATTCTGTCCTCTCTTTCCTTTTCCCTTTCTTCTGCTATAGGTAACCATTTTTAAAAATTAGTTTTTAGCTTATACTTCCATTGTGTCTTTGAAAGTAAGAGCAAATACCTTTGCACGTGCATATTTCCACCTTTCCATACTAACACCAAAGGTATCAAACTATAAACATTGTTCTCCATTTTGCTTCTTTTCACATAAAACTATATCCTGCAGATCACTTGGAAACATTACATAGAGATTTTCCCCATTCATTGTTATAGCTGCATTATGTGGTTTACTGGAGTTTATTCAACCAACCTTATGCTGATGGACATTTAGACTGCTTGTAGATTTTTGCTATTACAAAAAAAAAGCCTCGGTAATTATATTTATTCATTATGGTTGGGCTTATTTCAAATTTTTGCTAGCAAATTTTTTGGTATAATTCCTAGAAGTGGAAATGCTAGGTCTAAACATAAATCCATGTATACTTTTGCTAATTATTGCCAAACAACTCTCTTCAGAAAACTATCATCATTTCGCCAACAGCAGTGCGTAAACATGTCTATTTTCCCCTACATAGCGAACAAAATTTGGTAATTTGCCAATCTGATAAGTAACAACTGGTATCTGTGCAGTTTTATTTATTTATTTATTTATTTTGTCTTTTTCCATGTCCGGCAACAGATCGCAACCCTCAGTGTCGCCCCCGTACCGGACCGGGACCAGCAACGGGATCGCAACCCTCGGTGTTGCCCCCGCGCCTCGCTCAGCCAGTGAGCGGGAACCGGTCTGTATGTGGGATCCGAACCCTCAGCGGGAGCGCCGCCGCGCTTCCCAAGCGGCGCACTAGCGCAGTGCGCCACTGGGCCGGCCCCGTATCTGTGCAGTTTTAACTTGACTCTCCTTATGAGAGAATTTGAGCATCTTTTCTTATAGTAAAAGACATTTACATTTATTTTTCTATGAAATGGCTATTCATATCCTTTACCCATTTTTCTATTTCATTGTTGGTTGTTTAATTGACTTTTTCTTCTCAAAACTTAACGAGTTCTCTTTATAATGGGATACTAGCCACTTGTCTTTTATATAAATTGCAAAACTTTTTGCCAGTTTATCATTTGCCTTTTGATTTTTCTTATAATATTTTTGCCATTTTCAAATATTGTTTTTATTAAATCAATTTTATAAATCATTTATTTTACTTGGAATCATTTTAGCTCTATGGGTTACATCTGTATTCCCAAGGACAGGTAGATACAAAGGCCAGTTCTAGCTGGGGATATACTTCAGGCTCAATTATCTGACACTTTTCTAGGTAATGTCTCTTCTTATATTGTAGAATTAAAACCAGCCATGGTGGCAGACACCTCTATTTTTGTTTCTTTCCCAGTTTTATCAGGATTATATTGTATCTTAATATGCAGCCAGTTTACATCATGATCTATGTAAACCAAATTTAATTAAAAATTTTTAAAGCTCTGAGTTTGTTTGTTTTTTTCCCTAGGTAGTTTTTTTCTGTCAAATTACAAAAGAACACTACAATAATTTAATTTCCTTATTTAGAATATAAACTGTTTATGGATAGAAACCTCATCTGTCTCACTCACTATTTTGTATGAGTATTAACCAATGTATGTTAAAAATTTTGATAGTCAGAAAAAACATTCCAATTACATTTTACAGAATCACCTATTCAAATCCATTTGCTTAGATTGAATGATCTTATCTTTCTATCTAATGACATGTCCTAAGGATGAGCATTGAGAGTAACACAAAAGAATTCTTTCCATTTTAATAACCAAAAAAAAATTGTATTTAGGCTTCAGCCTTTCTTACTGATTAATTTTTGGTTTCCTCTCAGAGGGCTCTCCTGTAAGAGCAATGGATTTTATGACAGCAGAGCAGTGTTAGAAGAGACGAGACCATTAAACAAAAATTGTGGTTACTCTTACAAAATCTCTTTATTATATCTTGGACATTGAATAGGCACTAAGTAAATGTCTCTGAAATAAAGGAAGGAAGGATTCAGGAAAGAAGGGATGGAATAAAGAAATGAAGATAGGAAGAAAATAAAATAAATATGAATTTATTAATAACCACCTACATCATTTAGTTATACATGGTAATTCCACAAAAATATTTAGAAAAGTCTTCAAAATACACTTACGATGGTTTCCATAAATTAAAGCGTAGATTATACTTACCCAAAACTCTTACTGCTAAGGTGTAGATACCCAGGGCAAAGGACTTAAGTTGTGGTTTAATGCACCTAAAATCAACAAAATCACTATCACCAAAAAATATATGACCTACTAGAGTAAATAGAAATGTTAGTGATAATCTGCTTAAAACACATGAATTCATATTAGAATTCAAGTAGCATTTATGGCAAATCCATTAGTGTGCTAGCACAGAGAAAGCAAAATATGTAAAAGCCGTGTTTCATTATACGCAACACATCAAGGAGCTTACAGTTACCACTTCTAGAAGGTAAGTCAGCCCTACATGACATATTCAAATGGCACCTGCTAAAGTAAAATCATAAGTTTTATCAGCAAAATGCAAAAGACTGAGGAAAAACCCCCAAATTTCTAAGAAATTGCAAGATTTGAAGCAACCATAAACGATTAATAATAACCCATAACTAATTTTTGTGGCTTTTGGTCTAAAAGCACAGGACCAAATTGATCAGAGATGATACAATCATGGTGGCTGCTAAATGTTTTTGCTAAATAGTAGGGACCTGACTTTACCGTAAAAGTGCAAGAACACCTAAAATAACAAGGGCATCATTAATATGACTGTATAGCTTTAACTGACTAGTCTGTGGATTTTAATAGTAATAATCATGACCATATATAACTATTGAGTTATTAACTATTCATGCACTAAGTACACCCCATGTATTATTCATTTAATCTCTGCTTTAAAGGTGGTAAAAATCATGACTTTTCTTCTTCAACCCAAGGGAGTCCTTCTGATATTAAAGTTCATGGTGGTTCACTTGGGGGACTGTTGGGGAGGAAAGTGCTCCCTACAGGAGGTATTCTGATTCTTCATTTGTCTCAGGTGACTTCTTGGCACAGAATAAGAAGGTGCTGAAGTAGCCACACTGGTCTGGAAACTTGAGGGCAATGCTTTCCCATTTTCTCAAACCCATGCTCCCACTTGTAAACATAAATATCTCAGGCCTCAGGTGACTTCTTGGCACAGAATAAGAAGGTGCTGAAGTAGCCACACTGGTCTGGAAACTCGAGGGCAATGCTTTCCCATTTTCTCAAACCCATGCTCCCACTTGTAAACATAAATATCTCAGGTTCTCCCTATACTGTTTTGAGAATAGCAGATTTATGTATGGTAGGTTCTGTTTTCTGTTTATCTTTCCTAAGCAATTTTCATTATAAAAACTGTATGAAAAAAAATGTGAAATTAAAAATGCATACCATATTTTTGATTAGTCTCATTCTAATGAGAAACTAATGAAAAACTTAGTATTCATCCTTGGATATATAAACTAATTTGAAAATTGCCCAAGCCATCTAATAAAAGATTGATTTCCAGTAAAATTTGACTTTTTATATTTAGTAATTTTATCAAAATTTGTAATATTTGAGGTTACTTGGATCAATTGTACAATAGAAATGCTTACAAAGCCAATTTGAAAAGGAAGAAAATATTATTACTGAGAATCCTGGTTATAAAACTAGTATTTTAAGAATTGAATTTATATATAATTTTTATAGGGATGTGTAATAGGATAGTATGTAAAAAATGTTCAAGCACAAATTATATTACAATATAAGAAAAGCCTAAAGCCTATCAGGAAGTTGAATGAAGATATAAGTAGGTAAAAGGAGAAAAAAGAAATACATAATATTTTTGACAAACATTGTTTCATATAATTTTTAACTAGGTGAAGTTGGTTATGTAATCACTATCCTTTAGATACCATTAATTGCATTTGAAAGAGTGGCTTACATTTGAAATTTATATATTTTAAAATTATTTATTATATACTGGAAATCAAAGCTTAGTTACTATTTAAACTTAAGATAAAAAATTTTAGGGCCGGCCCGGTGGCACACTGGAGAGTGCGCCACTTGGGAGCACGGCGGCACTCCCGCCGAGGGTTCATATCCCATATGGAGACCGGTTCCCACTCACTGGCTGAGCACGGTGCGGGTGCAACACTGAGGGTTGCGATTCCGTTGCTGGTCCCCGGTACGGGCACAACACCGAGGGTTGCGATCCGTTACCGGTCAGTAAAAAAAAAAAGACAAAAAAAGGAAAAAAAAAAAAAAATTTATATGTCAATTTAAAAATATGCAAAAGGGTACAGTTTTAAAAATTCTTGTAGGGTTTTATAAGCAAAAATATTTATAAAACCCTAATGAAAAGTCATTGACATGATAATCATCAATGGATGATAATCAATCATTAGGATCATTAATTGAGCCAAAAGCCATGAAATCTTCCACAGAAAATTCCAGTCATGGCAAAATACACAGAAAAAGTAATAATCTGTATATCAAAATAAGAAATGCAAAACATTGTGGTACTAGCTGAGCCCTTAAAGTGTCTTATAAACTGCATCGCCCATAATTTGGTGAAATTATATCTCATCTAAAACATTTTATCTACACTAGTTAGTGTTATCGCCAGCATTAGCATAGCATACTGTATTCATTGAGTGACTGTAGTCATGCAGGTGATAACATTGCTCTCTAGGCCAGTGGTTTGCAAATATTTTTGACTAATCAAACTTCTATTTAGCCACATCTTTTTTTTTTTTTGTATAAAAAATGTGAGATACACATAAAATTGGAACAAGGGTGTGGGACAAGTTCCTTGAAAAAGTTATGAGGAATCATGACGACTCCACAGAAAAGAATTTGAAATTACTTCTCTAGATGATTACATTTTGCTTTATCTTAAAATTGTGGTGGGGAGAATCAGTATTCACCTCAGAAGTAATATGTATCCAGGTATGCCACCTAGGGATAAAGTATAGGATGTGATGACTGAAATTATAAGGAAATACAGAAACATTTTGGGACATCCATTTTCTTTTTGACATCTGCCCACTACGCCTGAAGAATTTCCTGATTGAGAAGCTGCCATTTCCACACAAGTGCAGTTATAAAATATCTGTAACACAAGAGAGAAAAGTCCAATTATTGAGATAACGTTTAAATAAAATTAACAATAAATTTTTATTTTAAAAACCTTTACAGTTCAGTATGCATGCATTGTATAAACAATGAGGAAATATTATTTTTCTGTATTACAGTATATTGAAAAAAGTGAAATCTATCAAGGTACACCATTTTATTATCCAAACAGCAAATGATTGTCTACAAAATACTAATCCTATAGAGCAATCTCCCAGCAAATCCTACCAAATCCAGCCATACCTTATCTCCATTACTATCACTTCCAAGTTCAAGTCACCATTACGTCTTGCCTAAATTATTGTCATGATCTTCATGCTCAACCTGTTTCCACTGTTATCCAGCTATAGCCTGTTTTTCACACAGTAAGCAAAGTGAACCTTGAAAAATGGCAGTCAGATTGCATCATTACCCTCACCCTTCCAATGGCTTCTCATTATGCTTGTATGAAATTGCAAATCCTTACAGTGGTTTGCACATTCTCCATCACATAGCTGCTGGATCCTACTCTGATCTCACCGCCTAATGATCTTCCCTCTCCCCATTGCTTTAGCCACACAGGGCCCTTGCAAGGACCCTTTTGCCTTGCCACTCCCCTCAAACATTACAAGTTTACCCCTGTCCCATTGCCTTGTTGTTTTCTCTGCTGGGCAGTGCTTCTCCTAGACAACTACACTGCTGGCACATGCACTTCAGATCTCTGTCCAGAGATTTCATTAGAGAACACTTCCATGACCACCTATTCAAAATAACACCCCCATCAGTCCAATCTCATATCCTAACATTTTTTTTCTCAGTGCTTTATTACTACCTATCAGGATATTATATATTTTTTTATTTTTAGACTATATTTGCCCTCTAGAATATAACCTCCAAGAAGGCAGAAACCATCTGGGTTTTCATCATTATATATCCAGGGCCTAAAATAGGCCTTCATTTTAGGTGTTCTTTAGATATTTGTTAAATAAATGGACACAATTGGAAGATATGACAGAATTTATAGTGGGTTCTAGGAAAAAACAATTCTGATGCATAAAACTCAACTGAATCTAGACTAAAGAGAGGCAACTTTTATAATCCCTCAATAGTTTATTTCTGTAAATTTCACTTATGGATGTGTATATATTATGAGTTGTCATTTTCATTGCAGATGAGTTTGTGAATTTTTATTTTTATTTTTATTTTTTTTATTTTTTATTTTTTATTTTTTTGTCTTTTTTGTCTTTTTCCGTGTCCGGCAACGGATTGCAACCCTCAGTG